GCCCCTGGAATCTGTCTTGTTCCCAAAACACTGGTGGCAGATGCCGATCGACACCAGTGTGACTAAGCAGCGGCCATAGATACCCGCCAATAAGTGTCTGTAGCATAGGAGTCTGTTACGATAACGCGTCAACGCGCGTCATTACAAAGTAAGGACGCTACCTTACCCTTCATAAATACATCAAAGGAGCTCGGGGATCGGTCTTGACTTATTGGTTTGCCTTAGTTAGTATTTCCCGAGCACCACCATCTTGGAAGACATTTCACCTCCTTTCGTGTTCAAAACTATATCCAAGTTACAGCAACGAAGACCTTACCGCCTTCCACACTGCAATTACCTTCCCTCTCCGACGGAACTCCGATGGAAGTTCAAAAGAAAAACATCTTGTCCCTTAGGCTACCACCATATGGCGACCTTGAGAGCCCAAGTTTCCTAAGGCTGCATGCATACTCCGCTATAGACGGATTCAGATGAGTCAGGCGACTGCGACCGACCGCGCTCCAACGTTAATCGTTGCACCATTGCAACTTCTGGTCGAATCACATTTGGGATAGAGCCTCTTGAACAGTTATAACGGCCAATGGTTGGCGCGCGATCCGCCACAATCGGCGAATGAATCGCCAGGGTCACGGAGTATGAACACGACCTTGCACTTTTCTGTTCGAAGCGTTAACTACCTTAGCAGGTTCTTTGAAGTGGTTTTCATCACTCATTATTACAGATAGTTCAGCAGCAATCGCAGTGTCTTTAGGTATGGAATGTCCGCCGACAATTCTGCTTTCCTTGGTTCTGCGGAACAAATTCAAATTTAGAATGGCTGCCAGACGATGTATTTCCTGGAATATAAAGAAAAAGAAGCCTCGCAATAATGAAGCTTTTCCAAAATTACACGAATAATGAGCTTTCCAAATTACAACGGACGTCAGAAACAGCTTGACCAGTAAATGTCCCAGTTCAGATATGGGGTATGGTCCTTGTCAGATAATGAAATTGATCGATTATGATTTGTAACTGCAGCAAGCTCTGCTCTGATTTTCTCCATAATCTGAAATATCTATTGGAGGCGGTGACATGGAACTAGTATTGAGTAAGGTTATTACTTGTTACCATATAAGATTTAAAAAATTGTGACATGTTCTGAAGAGTTATGGGATGTGATTCACCATTGCCGTGTGGGCTACAAAAGAGAAGTTGCAAGCAGCATCACGTGCGCGGCATTTGCACCGTTCGATTGAGCGCGGAGAGTGGTGCAGTGACAAGTGGCGCCGGCTCTCACACTCGCGCTGCCGCTGCGGTTCAAATCCCGGTCGCTCTCCCGCCCAGGCCAACCAAGCCTTCTACCCTCCGGGGACGGTAAATTGGTACCAGATTCGTCTGGGAGGATAAAACACTGACTTGTACATCGGCTGGCCACCGCAAGTCATTGTATAGGCCACATCGCATTCAATAAGCCACTACGATTCTGAATGGAAGTAGAATGCAGGTGGCCGCATCCCAGAAAGATTTGATCAACACGGCGAAGACTTTATCCTTTATCCTTTATCCGATTGGAAGTGCCGCAGAGTGTCAAGCAAACTGGCTATGGGTTATTGCGCTAGATTGTGCGAGACTTACATTGTGAGAACGTCTCCCCTCGGTCAAAACCACCTTTCAGAGCTAGATGGGACAGGGTAGGTTATAATCTGAAGTCACAGCACCAATGATCGTTACAGGTTAGTGTGGTACGGGCCCGCGGTTGAGCCCCGAACTGCATCGTCGCTTGAGGGAAATCCACTTTCATGATGCCCCAATTATGTGTTCATAGCTAAGATAATCGCACATGCGGGTTTCCATTTATGTTCAGTAGGTTCCGTGCTTGAATGTCGCGCAATTGCACTTATATCTGCAACGCTACGATGCCTCGCCTGTGAAGTGGATCTTTTTTGCCCGCCACGCAGAGGCCAGTCATTTAGTCAAGAGGTGGGCAGAAGCACCTGCCTATCTTAGCTGTCGTCTGCGTCCTTCCCATACCTTTAGCGCGGCTAATGCTTTTATCTCACCACGATCTAGATATTGTGTAATTCAAATAAGCAAAAGTAGTTTCAGTTTTTCAAAACTCTGAGCTTAGTGCTATAAGCAGTACATATTAGGTTTCTAATAAAACTTCGGGCACTTTACAAGGCAGGGATAGCCGAGTGGTTAAGAGTGTAGACTCATAATCTCACTCTGAGCCACGAGTTCGATCCCTGCCGAGGCACAAACCTGCCTTGCAAAAATTGCAAAAATGGGGACGATACCAGCGTCAGGCCCAGGTTGACAGGCCGGCTGATGGAGGAACCCGTCACAACAACCATGACAAGTCGCAATAGAATCAGTGTAAAAGCTAGGACGTCACCCGGAAGTGGCGCGCAGAACCCTCGCCCGAGTTCTGTGTCAGTATGCGAGGGCTACCGAGGCTTCACACGCTCCTTCCATCCGTTCCGTCCGCATGTGGCAACGACTAGCCAAAGAAGCTGTTCGCATTGGGGGCCCTGGAAGCGTGGGGTCGCTTTACTCGGGCAAGTCTGTGAGATGCCGACCTCATGAGACGCAGGAATATCCAAGTCCTGTGCCTGCAGGAAACGCGATGGAAGGGTGCGAAGGCCCGCGAGATTGGAGAAGGCGTCAAACTCTTCTACAATGGAGCAGACACAAACGGATAATGGCGTATTGCCAGGTACGTTGTGGACCCCTCAAGGACTGCGTCTCCACTGTGAACAGGATCAGTGACCGGATCATGGGAGTGAGAATGGACACGAAGGAGGGGTACTGGACAGTACTGACCGTGTACGCACCACAATCCGGTTGCTCTGAAGCCGAAAAAGGATGAGTTCTACCTGACCCTGGACGAGGCCATAAGATCGGTTCCGGAAGAGGACTATCTCACCATAGCTGGAGATCTGAATGGCCATGTTGGGAGGGAGAAGGGGTCTAGAAAGGGTGTTGCCGACGAGAGGTCAAGGAATAGGGACAAGGAACGCTGATGAGAGACGAATCTTGATCTCAGCAACCTAGTCTCAACGACTTAGCAATCTGCAGCACCTTCTTCGCGAAAAGGGACCCAAAAGGTAACCTACAGCAGTGGAGGGAGACAAACGGAAATCGACCATGTCCTGGTAAGAAGATCGTCTCTCAAAACCATCAAGGATATCAAGGTACTGCCTGGCGGAAAGAAGCTGGGCCCTCAGCACAGGCCTCTCCTGGCAGACATCGCCATAGACCTCCCCAAGAAGACAAGGGTGAGAGCAGAGCGAAGAATTCGGTGGTGGAAAATGGGCAGGGTAGAAAAGGATAGCCTCGGCCGAAGAATACTGGAGGCTGGGCTCCCAGACCCACATGGGCCAGTCCAGGACACCTGGACCTACGCAGCAGAGGTCATCCTACAGTGTGCAAGGGAGGTCCTGGGAGAGACGCGAGGTGGTATCAGAGGAGACAAGGCAGCCTGGTTCTGGAACGAGGAAGTCCAGAGGATCGTCAAGCAGAAGAAGGAAGATACAAACGCTGCCTACAAGAGCTGCAAGCGACTCGCTAAGGCGGCCGTTGCTAAGGCCAAGAATACGGAAATGGACGCCCTGTACGACAAGCTGGAAGGCCGAGAAGGGGACAAGTTCGTCTTCCGCCTGGCTAAAGCTCGGCATCGCGCGCTAGCGCAAATTCAGGGTCGTAAAAAGATGTGTAAAGAGCAGCAACGGGGCCATTCTCAGGAAACCAGCCGAAGTCAGGAAGAGGTGGGAAGAATACTTCGAGGGACTTCTGAACGAAGAATTCCCTCGCAAGGATAGCCCACAGGTAGAGGCGACGGCAGGTCCCATCACACGAAGGTAAGAAAGGAAGGACGAAGGATGAAGTTCGCCGGGAGCTAGGGAGAATGAAAGCTGGGAAAGCAGTGGGTCCAGACGGGGTACCGATAGAGGCATGGAAGGCCCTCGGAGAGCATGGGGTGAGTTGGCTCACACACTTCCTAAACAACGTAACAGCTGAAGGAAGGATGCCGAATGCGTGGAGGAGTAGCAAATCGTCCCATCTTCAACAGAAGGACGCGACGGAGTGCCTCAACATTACCGAGGCATCAAGTTGACTCCCATACCATCGAAGCTGCTCGTCAACACAGGCTAAGGGAACTTATTATCGATTTCGCGGGGACAGTTCAGGCTTCATGCCGAGAGGTCCACCCACACTGATGCATCTTCATCGCCGACAGCTTCATGGAGAGAGTACGACGAGAAGCGGCGATCCTGCTACCTAGCCTTCCTGACCTTGAGAAGGCATTCGACGCCTGCCAAGGCCTGTACTCTGGAGAGCGCTCAGAGAACGTAACGTTCCGGAACACCTCATCTCCATAGTGAAGGACATGTACGATGGGGCTAAAGCAGCTGTACGCACCCCTCACGGCTTGACAAAGGAGGTAAACATTACGGTTGGGGTACACCAAGGGTCAGCCCTCAGCCCGTTCCTCTTCCTCCTGACTCTAGATGTCATGGCAAAAGAACTCATGGAGGGACCACTGAAAACCATCCTCTATGCTGACGACATCGCCTGATAGCGGACAGTAGGAGGAAGACTTCAAGACAGTGCAGCGGTGGCAGGATGTGCTCGCTGCGAATGGACTCCGGCTGAACGTAAAGAAGACCAAGTTCCTAAGCTCCGAAGAGTGCGCCGGTGGGGGGAAGTCTCGATTATAGCGCCATGGCGAGAGCATCGAAAGGGTCGAGGATTTCCAGTACCTGGGGCAACCTAGCAGCTGATGGCAGCGTGGACCAGGCGGTGACGGCCCGAATCAACGCAGCCTGGATGAAATGGAGGGAGTCCACTGGCATCCTGTGCGACCGGCGGTGCTCGAGAACACTCAAGGGCAAGGTGTACCGGGCTGTGGTAAGGCCTACAATGCTCTACGGCAGTGAGTGCTGGCCTATCTGCAAGAACCATGAAAGGCAGCTCCACTCAGCTGAAATGAGGATGCTGAGATGGGCCTGCGGCTGGACACGACTCGACAGAGTCAGAAACGAGAGGCGATGTCAAGAGCAGTACACAGATGGTCCTATACAGCTGAAGGCCAACCAGAGAACAGCGACTGCGACTGGTCACGGTACTGTACTGAGCGAGGCTGAAGATCCACCCAATAAAGAGAGCACTTGGAACTCGTAGATAGAGGGCAAAGCCTGGGCGACCACGAGGAGCCCAAGAAAAGGTGGAGGGACGTCATCAAGAGGACCTCACTGAAGTGAAAGCCACAGCAGAAGATGCAGTGGATCGGAACAAGTGGCGACGTCTAACAAGATCAGCGGACCCTGCGACGGCGCGGGACTAACGCTAGGGAGAAGAAGAAGAAGTAAACTTGCGGCACTTTGCACCTTCTTAAACTGTCGTAGCTTTCCAGGAATCACGCCTGGAGACATTGCGCTTGGAAGAAAAGCTACGACAGCACCAGAAGACGTCGAATTATATCCTAACAAAAAATGTTTCTGAACTAAGAATAATGTGGTGTGTGTGAAACAGTTCCCATCATTTACCCAAATCCCAGACGCTCATGATAATGACTCCAAAAAACTTGCTAGCGGATCGAGTCACCTGTGTATTACCTGTGCTCCCGCTGATCATCGAGTTCCTGAAGCGGGCGCCAATAACGTCTCCATTCATCCCTGCAACGTGCTAGGGCTGCCCAAAGGGTTCTACCTTCACAAGGGCACGATAAATTTCCTACATTCGTTCAGAGCTTCCAGAAGAGTTTATGAGCAATCGCAATAGGCGGTTGTCCAGGTCTTGTTGTTTACTTTCTGACATCCGTCGAGATCCAGGAAGCGTTAAAATCGCTCTGGGCAGCGCGTCGTCTCGGACGCATGGACGTGCCCGGCCATCAATTTTCGCAACGTGGCTGTCGTATGACTTCTAGTGCTTGGAGCCCAGCGGAAGGTCTTCTCGCTTGCGTTAGCGGAAACTCGAGCACGCCCTGGCGCGTTGATGACGCTGACGCATGTCATTTGCTTGGCTTTCGACAGAGTCCAAGTTCGAGGAGTTATTGTAAATTCAGAATGCCGCGGAATCGAAGTGGGTGCGAACCCATTCTCGTGTGTTATTTCGTCTTCGTTGCTTTCCCTCGAATGTTATTGAAAGTCTCCAAAGCGCCTCTTCCTATTGGCTCATCATTAGTTGATTAGTCTGCAGGCTGACCTGGAGCATTGCAAGAATGTTATCCGTTTAGCTGAATGGGGCGTCGGGAACCTATCCCTCCCGCATGAACATCCCTTCGTTAGATCCAGCTGCAACCGATTCCTGGCAGTCAGCCAGCACTCGCTCCCCCTGCTCGATGTTTGGTGCTATCAGAACGATGTTAAGCAAAGCGGAGATTGTGTAGTTGCTGGCCGTCGATGTTCACTACAATGTCTTTCCATTCCAGTTGACGCATGATGTTCTCGAGAGAGGGGCTAAAGAGCTTGGAATAGAGGTGTTGCCTGTCGCATTCCTCTTCACATCAATGATGTTCTCCTTGTAGAATGGTCAGATCCCGGTCGTGAAGTTGCTGTGGAGCTCACGACTGATTTACTGAGCAGGAGCGCCCTGTTTGCCGAGCTTCTGTCTCAATGGAGTCAAAAGCTTTCTTCAAGTCGATGAATGTGAGACATAATGGCACCTTGTACTCTCGCGACACTTAACTGAGCTTCGTTACCGTGTGTATGTGATCTATCGTGCTAAATCCCCTTCGAAAACCTGCTTGCTCCCATGGCTGTCCATCGTTTAATGTTCTGCTTTTCTTGTGGAAGAGTTAAGACTACAGGACAGCAATACATGTTTGGCGATAATTGTGCAGTGTCGTGCAGACTCCTTCTACAAGGCAGTGCAGTCTGGCTGGTTTTTCATGAGGTGGGTACCTTGCATTGACGGTAGCGCGTTGAAGAGTTCTGATCAGAGTTCTGTAGACAAGAACTGGCCGGAAGATTCTTTTGAATTTGTCGATGTTTCTGATCTGTTGGGACGGTGTCCGTACGATTCTTCTGCACGGATAACGTGTCGGACTTCGGAGTGGGGGAAGGACTGCAGGAACGACGTATCCATCCTGCTCACGGCTCGCTGGAGGTGGCGCGGGCTGTTCAAATGAGATCAGTATTGTGTGAATTTGTAGGGTGACTTCGTCCACTGGCATTTGTGGGACGCCAGTGATTGTTCCGTCCGGAAGTCGCGAAGACCAGTTCATCTTGCATTGGCCCAATGTCGCGGCGGGCGTTTGCGGATGTCTCGTTAAAGCTCTTACGGCTTCCAGCCAGTACTGTGTTTCTCTCGACTGAAATCTTCCTTCATGTTTCTGTGCTTCTCAACTTGGCAAAGACCAGGCGTAAAGATGGATAGTGCCTGCGGATCTTGTGGACTCCACTTTTGGTGAATAGCTCAAGAGTTCCCGAGAGATGGCGCTTTTAGTTAATCTGGAACTCTCGACAATTTTGGCAGTAGTGTAGGTCGTGCATAAGGACGTTCGTATTTCCTACGTCGATGTCTGTCGATAACGGGACGTCCTCCACAGCCCAGCAAGAAAAGTGAAGTGACCGAATGATGAGGTCTATTTAGGATTCACTGATGATCTTGCAGCTACTCTCTTCCCCTATGTTCTCTCCTGCCTGAAAGCGGAATTTCCGTTGCCCGAGCGCGACGGTGGTCGGATCCAGTGACCTTAAGAACAACAGTGACGTCGATGCAGAACCTTCGATTGAGGATGATGTGGTCGATCCTATTATGGAATTGTCCACCAGGAAAGACTCCCATGAAGTCCAGCGTAAAGAGTAGGGCATCTGGAATTGCGAGTTACCATGGGTGGTATGGGTCGACATGATAAACTCAGATAGCCCTTCCACCCTGCTCACTGCAGTCTGTTCCGATGTGAAGTTCTTCAGCCGTTCTTCTTGGTCCGATCTTAGCGTTGAAATCACGATGACCTTGAAGAAGGTATGATCTTCCTTGTAGAACTTCTCCAATTCCATATAGAACGCTTCGAGCTCATCCTCGTCGTAGCTTGATGTTGGTGCGTAGGCGACGAAGATTGTCAAAGCTGGAGTTGAGAGACATCTTCGCAAACGTTCAGTTCCAGTGGTCAGATTTTCGCGCTGATCGATGTTGATGGCCAAGTGCGTGCTGACGAGAACGCCCACACCGCCAATGCCGCTGCTGTCGCATGTTTCGAGGAACATTTCTCCCTCAGTTTTGTATACGGCGTGCAGCGAGCGGTGCCTCTTCTCTCGGTCACTATGACGTGGCGCTTGATGTTACTGGCTTGCAACATCAGATCTTCGATGTGAGCGTCCGTGCGTTGAATTAGCCCATTTAGGCTATATTTAGTAGCCTCAGCCGAGCGATCCTATCCCACGCCGCCCTATCGGTGATCCCGCAGGGTCAAGGGAATGAGGGCCATGTCCATTACTGTTTTCGGCATATGAATTTGACCACGAGTAGCTCGCCAGGCTCTAGCGTGGACCCTCCGCACCGCTACGGTTTGAAGCACCTCCAGACTGTTCACCCCCACGCCACGTTGAGGCTGCGGATAGGATTTGTTGGGGGCGGGGGATGTAGTCATTTACCGAAAAATCTCTAAATAATGTAGCTTGCCCTCTTCAACAATTGGTGAAGAACTGGCTTGCGACGCGCGAAAACTTGCCTCCCTGACATACCGCAGCATCCGCAGCGAAAACGATTGTATCTAATAGAACCGCTCACGTCATGATTCCTGATGAGGTGCATCAGGCCCCACATTGTGGTAATCGTTGTCGTCTCTTGACCAGCAATCCATAGATCGAACACATCATAGAGCAACTCATCCTCCCTAAATTACTTGTGTTCTCCAGGTGTTTCTGTATGTTCTATTAAGTGCAGGGCACATTTGTATACAACCCCCTTCGACAGCTTCGGCGAAAAAAAGGAGTATTTTCTATAAAAAATAACTCCGCAAAAGTGGTTGGAAGCCAGAGAAATTTAGGAAGATGGCAAATAGGTAAGATAGGAAAGGTCATGGTATCATAAGAGATTTTGAGGGGAGTCATATTTAGCAACATTCTCTCTTAACAGCATGGAGTCAACTTATTAGCTTTTTAATTTCCAACCGAAGTGATAATTAGATAGGAGGTAGGAGGATTAATATGCCATCATACTGAATTAGGAAGAGTGACTGTATGCATTAGCGCTCATGCAATCGCCTTCCTGAAGCGCTGACCTATTTGGGGGGGGGGATAAACATTTAGTGGCGCGAATAAAGCTGGTTGTGCATTGGGACAGCATCCTCATCCTTACTTTCCCCTTGCCAAGCCTCAAAAGAGTGCAGACAACTAGAGTTGCCACGGAATACTTGCACGGTATGACACGCCCACATGTGCTAGTGCTTCGCAACTGTGGTACTAATGGAGTAATTACCAAAGAAAATTAAATAACAAAACCGTCAAGGACCTACTTGTATGACTGACTCTCAGGTCGGCCTTCTTTTCTATCTTTCTCCATCTTTACGAAATATGCATCAACAAAATCGTTGCCATCACCATGTATTTCGTGCTTCCCAGATGCGATATCATCTTTTCTTAAATATTCATATTTGTTAACAAGTTACACTTTAACGCCATAAATCTAGGGACCCCCCCAAATTTTTGTCATTCCAAACCAGCCGCTTTTTTTGTTTTGAAAATGGTGCGAACACCAGTGAAAGGTTTCTAGCCCGCACGTTCAGTATTTCATCGACTATGTCTACTATCCTAATCCCTACCAGGGTACAGCATCGTTGTGGGACACACATAGGGAAGGGTCGTAGTATTTCTTTGGGATGGGGGGGGGGAATCGTACTTGGTCGTTGGGCGAGAGGGGGGCTTTGAGAGAAAATTGTCGCGTTGCGTGATTTTTCCTGTTTCATGTGCACTACTACCCCCCCCCCCCCCGCTCGAAAATTTTTGAGTGACAAAGGGTAAAAGTGTGGGATTGGAAACTGTGGCGAAATTGGTAGGTTAAGTGCTGCGGGAAAGGGGGGGGGACCGTACTGAAAGCTCTCTTGGATGGGTGGGGCGGGGGTTCTACCTTACACACCACCTCACATGAGGGTCACGTTTCTGTACCCTGATCCCTATAAATGATAGGGCGCGTGACGCGGCGCGCACTGCAGCGCAGGCAAATTGGTAGGTAGGTCCTGGGTGGAAGGCGGCTACGTGCGTACTAACAGGGAAGGTGTTCAGGGTGGGCGTGCCCCGCTTTTTCAAAACGGTTTATTGCACTTTGTAGGGCCTTGCCCATGAACCGTAAAAGTGGGCTTCGTTTTTGCTGTGCGGCTCCTGGAATGCCAAAAAAGGAGTGAAAGTTACGTCTATGTACCCCCATACGAGGGACGTTTAAGCGCTATACTGGCGCCAAATTGCGTCGACCTCGAAAATAAGTGTCAAAATCGTAATCAGGACCATCGATTACCCTTATGGACGGACTTCCAGCCAAATTTTTTTTCTTCGATTTCTTGGGTTTTGGTGGGACCATTTGGTCGGCAGTAGTGACCGAAGTATCCCATCTTCGTAAAGACGATGACGAAACGACGACGTAGCAGGCCGCCGGGCAGGACAGCAAACCTGGTGGAATGCCTCCCTTTCCTTCCTCTTTGCATGTATTTCATCGGCATTGTTACTTTTATCTTTGAATATTAATAAAATAGGGGGTCCCTTTGGCGAGGCACTGTAGACTTCTATAGAAAGACTGTCGGGCAAACCAAACACAGCAGACACCCAAAAAGCTCGAAAGTTAAATTTTTTTGGCGCCGAAGATTGCTATTACAGCTGGGGTAATCGATGAGCCCGATCATATTTTGACATTATGTTCGGTCCGACGTAAGTTGGCGTCCTGGGTTAGCGCTACTACATCCTCTATTGTGTGTAGCAAGCGCATCTGTTGGGAGAAACATGTCACTCCATATTAGGGATAAATGGCACCGTAGCTACAAATAAGTTCCATATTCGTGATTCGGGCATGGTCTGACCTATAAAGGTCAAGTTTCAATTAAGGTCTTGCTTAATGGTATATAAAATCTGTAATAATTGAATAATTGAATTCAGCACTGCCCGATTCAGTACGACGTGTTTCCCATTTAAAATGTGCCCATAAATGGCAGTTATCGAATGCATACTTACGCACAGACATATTTGAACGCGAAAACAGCAAAACATAAAAAATGCAAAAACTCGCACGCCGAGGGGAGTTGAACCATCAACCCCACCCCAACTGTCCGCTTGAGAATCCTTCACGCTATCCACTAGGCCATCCGATCGTTAGCATGGTTGGAACGTTCCTCCGATCGTTGAAGAAACCATTCCATGAAGCCCGTTCACGCTTGATTACGTGCCACAAGTAAGACCCCATACCCCAACTATTTTTCTCTTCGATTCCGATAGCACCTTATAGGGTCCCTCCATTCAGCAACTGGTCAAAGTTTCAAGCGGTTTACAGCTCGTAGAGGCTTAAAAAAACAATCAGTTTCTATAGGTTTCTTTTCGCTCCTTTTTTGGCATTCCAGGGGCCGCACAGCAAAACGAAGCCCACTTTTACGGTTCATGGGCAAGGCCCTACAAAGTGCACTAACGGTTTCGAAAAGCGGCGGCACGCCGTGACGACCTCCCTTGTAAGAGCCTGGGGGAAGGGTCGGGCCCATCATATTAGGTGGGGAAGAATGTCGTACCGAGACCCTAATTAGGTGAGGGGAAGGGAGATCGTACTGACACCCTCCTTAGAGGGGGGAGGACGCACCTCTACACCACCAGCGTCACAACACAACGAATTCTGACTGTACCCTGGATCCTGTCAAATAGATAGGGACGCGTGACGACGGGCGCGTTTACTTGCAGCCACAGGTAGATCGCTATCTCTCCCCACCAATTGAATGCCGATACTTAGCCCAATACAGCTGATGGGAAATCTGATCTGACTGCGCTCCAAGCCACTCACCGTCAACGCCCTATCGCTTGCAGGGTATGTATTCACTGTATTTTCCTGCAGCGCCCAAAATCAGCCGCGAGGAGTTCCTTATTTGGGACATTTTCAGTATCTTCTTTTGCTCAACATGAACATGTCTTCTACTCTCCTTAATTCACATTCACAACCCAGTTAGAATTTGTTTATAAGAACATGATGTGAGCGGTAAAAAGCCCAGAGAATTCTATCAAACCTCTGAATTATTCTCTTCTCGAGATAGGCGAGAAGATCTTCCTGAGGCTCTATTAGTGCTTTCCATCTCTTGTTCAAAAGCGGCACATTGAGGGTCCACTTTTTCGAGTGACATGTCCAGAGCAGTCGAATTCGTGATGAGATCATCAAATCGATGTTTCACATCGAAGAATTCAGCCATATTTTCCTTAACAGACTATTCCTAAACTTGCTCAAGTGTTGTTGGAATAGTAGCAGCAAACTAACCTCTGTAAAACCTTCGGAAAATATGATGCGATTAATTACACTGCCAATGATAGAGTCAAAAAATTCGTTAGCTTTGATCGTCGTTTTTCCATCTACTAGATTTTTCTCCAGTTTTGAAAAGCTGAATTTGAGGAAATATCGGTCATACTTGGCACATAAATTGCAGTTCAAAGTGATGATAAACCAAGATAAGTCGAGGAGTACCATTGGGGGCAAGGGGGGGGGGCACGACTACCAGTATTCAGAAGTCAACAGAGTTCCCGTAGTTTAGAGATACAGTGGAAATCTATTTGGGTTGCGGAGCAAAATTATTGTGAAAAATGTAGAGCCAATATTAAGGACATCATGTCAGGTATTTGAAGGCACTTTTCATGCTGGCACAGCATAGTGCCTCCCTCAGTGACGCACTCCTCCTCTGCACCACCTCCTTTGAAAGTAAATGGCACGATAAATCGACAAGGGTACAGAGTCGATACCCCTAGCCTCCGAAAAATACTATACCCCTTAGCAGGCGTCTTTTCCAACCAAGGGCACTGTTATAGCGCTTAACCAAGGTGCAACATGCCGACCCAGACGCCCACCGCAACCGCCCGCCCACAAATGGCCGCACAGTCACATCGACGCTGGTACTCTTATCGCTTCATTTATGAAGTACAACTGATATGAAGCGTTGCTACATAAATATATGAACACATATGTGTAGCTGTATCCACCAAAGAGGGCGTTGGCACGATGCCAACGGGAAATTCGCCCGAAAATTCTCGTCTAATGCTGTGCGGACGAAAACTTATCGCAGAACCTTTGGAACTTTGTTTTTCGTCATTTTCTCACTATAGCATCCCTGCTACTATTTCTCAGTACCAAATTATCGTGCGTCATGCCTTTAAGGACACACCAATGAGGAAAACGCAATGATATGCATGTCTCCGCCCTTGCGCTGCTAGAGGCAGCTCCGTCCTCTACGAGAACTCCCACTTGCTTCTCAAAACGAACCAAATTAGCAGGCTAGGATCTTATTTAGCGAGTCTAAGTCTCACACGTTCCTTGAAATAAAACGCTAGGCAATGTTTTCTTTCAGTGAATATGCATCCGCAAAACAGCAAGAGTACAAAAAGTTCTTAGAGACAGAAGTTATAAAGCAAAATCTCAAGTGTGATGACTGCGCTGAAAAGGGCGCGGCCGTCGGCACCGGGTTCGCAGTAGTGTCTGCCTTCATCTCATTCATTTACTTTTTCTGGTTCCATGGTCCACATACATGACAGTCCCCATAAATATTACAAATCCTGCTTTAGAGGACGTTTTCAAAATTGTCCCTAAATAGAAAATGTGGTAATGACCAATGCCAATTCGCATGTCAACACCAAAAAGTAACTTGAAAAAAATTAGTTTTTTCTTCTTCATTTTTTGGAAAGTGTTCACTCTGACAATTCCACGAAATGATAGTTCCGCCTCACGTTTTCTCTGCCCCTCATTTCTTTTGGGTAAAACTGTCTCATCATTATGACTCTTTGCCTGTTCTAGACTATGGCAAGAGGATATTTATTATCAGAACTGAAAAAGGACAGATAATCGCAAAGAAGACTCAAGGACTGTCGAACCGTCAAATCGCACGGGATTTGGGCCGCAGTCATCATGTGATCAACAATTTTGTCAAGCAACCTGCAGGATATGGAATCAAGAAGAGCTCTGGGCGTCCTCCTTTGCTCTCTGATCGAAATAAGCGCCGTATTTTGAGAGAAGCATCAAATTCCACAATGTCGTGCCCGGAAATAAAGTCAACTTCGAGGCTTAACGTCTCAAAGGAGACTGTTCGGCGTCTTGAAAAAGTCCGAGTTCATTCTCAGGAGGAAAGTGAGGAAGGCACCGTTTCTGACAGAAATGCATCGTGAAAACCGAATCGACTTTGCTAGGAGATGTTGCCGAACCGACTGAATTGGAGTAAGGTTAGCTTATGGCAGCGGTGCCCTACTGCTTGTCTGTCTTGTCTTTTCAGTTTTTTCTCCAGGTCGTGTTTTCTGATGAGAAAAAATTCAACTGCGACGGTCCAGACGGAAATCGGTCCTACTGGC